AGGGCCGGCCCCCGGCGAGGAGTTGCGGCTGACTTTCCCGGTGCGGGACGGCGTGGTGTTGGAGCCCTTCCGCCTGCAGCACAACCTGGCTGTCAGCAACCACGTCTTCCAGCTCCGTGACTCTGTCTACAAGACCCTCATGATGAGGTRGGGGTCCTGGGGCACCTCGTGTGGTGTCACTGCTGTGTGGCACATGGTGGCACAGTGTTGACACAGCGCTGTGCTGCGGTACCGCTGGGTTTTGTCACAGTGCCACATGACACAGTGTGGTTTAGCACCGCATGGTTCCGCATGGCTTGGAGCAGTGTGGCACGGTGACACCCAGTGCGGTGGCTCACCACACCCTGCCTTGCCCTCAGGCCTGATCTGGAGCTGCAGTTCAAGTGCTACCACCACGAGGACCGGCAGATGAACACCAACTGGCCGGCCTCGGTGCAGGTGAGCGTCAACGCCACGCCRCTCACCATCGAGCGCGGGGACAACAAAACCTCCCACAAGCCGCTCTACCTGAAGCACGTCTGCCAGCCGGGCAGGAACACCATCCAGATCACMGTCACCGCCTGCTGCTGTGTGAGTCAGGGGAGGGCACTGGGAGAGGGAGGGTGCAGGTGGGGGCACAGCTCAACTTCCTCCCCGTTTCTCTGCAGTCCCACCTGTTYGTCCTCCAGCTGGTGCATCGGCCCTCGGTGCGCTCGGTGCTGCAGGGGCTCATCAAGAAGCGCCTGCTCCCCGCTGAGCACTGCATCACCAAAAGTGAGCACCTGGGTCCTGCAGGGCAGGAGGATGCACCGTGGCAGGGTGGGGGTGATGGTGCCCTATTGCCACCACGGTGCCACCCCCATGCCACTGTCCTTGTTCTGACCCTCGGTGCCCGTCGCCCCCACCTCCCCAGTCAAGCGCAACTTCAGCAGTGGGACCATCCCGGGGACGCCAGGGCCCAACGGCGAGGATGGCGTGGAGCAGACAGCTATCAAGGTGTCCCTCAAGTGCCCTATCACCTTCCGCAGGATCCAGCTCCCAGCCAGGGGTCACGACTGCCGGCACATACAGGTATGGGTGGCGATGGCAGAGTGCTGGGGATGTCCCCCACCCAATATCCTGCTCCCCTCCATCTCAGCTGCTGCTCTTCCCCACAGTGCTTCGACCTGGAGTCATATCTGCAGCTCAACTGTGAGAGGGGGACWTGGCGGTGTCCTGTCTGCAAGTAAGTGGGGCCACTGTGGGGCCATGCCCAGGTGTSCCTGCCTGCAGGACAGGGGCGAATGTTTCACTGCCTGCGGGGGATTGTTTCCTGCCCTGGGAGAGGGGTGGTTCTTGCCTCCGGTGGAGGTTCCCATATCTCATCGTGTCCTCACCCTGCCTGCAGTAAGACAGCCCTGCTGGAGGGGCTGGAGGTGGACCAGTACATGTTGGGCATCTTGATCTACATCCAGAAGTAAGTGCCCTTCTGCGGGCTGTGTGTCCATCCCTGCCTGCTCCTGTGCCACCCGTGGGGGGTTGTGCAGCAGCCACTGCCCCAAACCTCACCCCCCCTGCCCTCCTGCTGCCCCTAGTTCAGAGCACGAGGAGATCACCATTGACCCGACGTGCAGCTGGAAACCCGTCCCCATCAAACCCGAYGTCCACATCAAGGAGGAGCCGGAGGGGCCGGCGCTGAAGCGGTGCCGGACGCTCAGTCCTGCGCACATGGTGCTGCCCAACATCATGGAGATGATCGCAGCTCTGGGGCCTGGCTCTGTGCCCTTCCCGGCATTGTCACAACCTTCGGCAGGGGCTGCCACTGACTACGGCACCCCGGGTACGGGGGGGCCCATGGGGGACAGGACTGAACCCCATCCCTGCGTGTGTGTCCCCCAATTGCCCCATTTCCTCTCACAGGTTCCAGCTTTCTGGGACCTGGGGGCTTCCCAGAGCCTTTCGCCGCCCCTGGTGCCCCTGGCACCTCAACACTGAGCGACTTCACACCAGGCCCCCCCTCCATCTCCTACCAGCCCAACATCCCCGGTGGCCTTATGGCCCCTGAGAAGCCTCCTGTGCCCCCTCTGCCCACACAGGTCAGTTGGGCTCTGGGTGGGGGCGTTGCCCGCAGGCCCCCATGTCTCACCGTGGAGGAKCTGGGGGATCCCAAGGGAGGGAGGGTCTCACAGCTCTGCTCTTTCCCCCGCTGCCAAGCTTCCCCTGCCAGGCCGGATGGAGCCGTCCCACCCCGCGGTGCAGACAGGKCTGCACAACACTCCTTCGAGCAGCCAGCCGGCCCCCACGCTGCACTCGCGGGGTGCAGTGGCACGGCAACCCCTGGGACCCCCGGCCCACGCTGCTGACCTCGTCTTCCCCCCCGCACCCGGCATGGCCGCGGCGGGTGACGGCTCGGAGCCCACCCTCGACGTGAGTATTCGGGGGGGTTGGCCGAGGGTCCTGCTGCCGGCTCAGGACCCCAGCTGCTGCGGGAGGGTGGGCAGGAGCTGCGGAGAGCTGACCATCACAYACTAACGCCCCCAGCTCCTGCCCGAGCTGACGAATCCCGACGAGCTGCTCTCCTACCTGGGGCCCCCCGACCTCCCCAGCAGCAGCAACGATGACCTCCTCTCCCTCTTCGAGAATAACTGAGCCATCCTCGCCCCCTCCGGGGCTGGGGGGCAGCACTGTGTGCCCCTGCCCGCTGCAGAGCTGGGAGCCCCCACCGCCGGGGCTTTCTTAAAGGGCTGCGATGGGACAGACGGGCTGAGCCCCCCCAGAAGCACAAGGCTGTACATAGTGTAGAAACACTACTGCTCCCCTGAGACCCCCCATATTTAAAGGCAAGTGCGTCACTGCGGGGCTGCCGGTTCCCCCCATCAATGTGCAAATGCTGCTGCCCCTGGTACCGCACGGCTCTGTGCGGGGTGCGGGGCTCAGCTCCCGCTGTCCCCCGCGCCGAGTTGCCCTGTATGTCCTCGATGGCTATTAAAGGATCCTTCTGCAGGGTCATGCGTCTACCCCATCTTTTGTCATCCCACTGTGGGGCTGGCGCCGCCGCCCCTCTCCGGGCAAGCGGGGGAGATCTGGGGTGGTGGGGGAATCCAGCCTTCTCTGCGGGCAGAGARGGGAGAGGGTCCGGAGCAGCGAGGGAATCCTGCCCTGTCCCCGAGCAGCGGCGGCCCTGCCGGGCGGTGAACCAGACCTGTGGTGTGAATCATTAACCGGGGCCGGCCGGGCGCTACCGTAATCCGACGGCGGAGGAGGGCAATCGGGCGCGACGCTGCCAGAACCGGGCCGCAGCTCCGGCAGCTTCAGGCCCCACACGCCCCGGTGCTGCCGCATCCCCCCGGCACTGTCCCTCACGGCGGCCCGGCGCCCACTCCCGCCTCTTCCCGGCTCTACCCCTCACGGCAGCCCAGCACCGCACCCCGGAGCTGCCCCTCACGGCAGCCCAGCACCGCACCC